TGATGTTAACATGCATATTATAGTATAGAGTCCGTATTTCTCAAAGTCACTTAGAGCCGAGTTGTTGTCCACCTTACAAATGTTTATATCGGATAAAATTTTGATTGATCACCTATAAAATTAAGCGAGTATTACTGTTAGGTTCGCCATGGGCGTGTATGGTCTATTGGTTTGACGTATTGGACAGCAAATAGGTGAACAATGGTCCGGGTGAGTACAGGGACAACAGTTCTATCACGAAACATGCGCTCATATGAGACGTTCTGTGATTTCAAGTTATTCAGACATTGGAAAAAATCAATATATCTGGTCGGGATTACTGACTGATGTCCAAACCAAAGAAGCTTCTGTGGCTTGCATACACCATAAGTTTAACGAAACGATCGTGATGATGGAAATACAGTGATCAGTAAAATGAGTGAAGGTAATAACGACCACAATGATAATGGGTGAATCTAACTTATTTGCATGGTAGCTTTTAACTTGTCCTATGACTGACAAAGCCCAATCAACAATCGTCATGTCTTGGTTCTACATTTACAAAAGTCTAGACAGGCTCTCAACACTCGTAGCGGAAGGACTAAGCTAAGGGCTATCTGAAATTGAAGTTTACTCATGATGGCAAAAAATGAGTTCGTATACCAAAGCGTCACAATAAGATTCACCGAAGTCACATTCTTGTGCACAGGAAGCCTAGTTTTGTTAATACTAACTCGGAAGTTAGCTAAATATTTATCATGTCATTAACTGGGAATGTCTCATGTTCGCGGGTTACTGGTTTATTTGGTCATAAGAGATCTCCATAATATCTTATTTGGTAAGGTCTTCTCCACTTGTCACTTAAAGTGCACAATGTAAGATCCATTTTGAATGCTTTGTGTGTTTGTGAAAATCCCTCCATGTATATACTTGCACTTTGTTCCTATTGATCCTCTTAGTTGTACATTGTTAACTTTTTGACCACATTTGAGTTGTTATAATTTGTACTTTATTATAGTTTTTATTTTTATTACGCCTTCACTGAGTCTCCATGTTTCTTCCCGAACAGCACTTATGTTGTTTTACTTTATACTAAGTCTGGGCGGCAGCCATTTTGGTTTGTTCCTGCTTTTGATTGCTTGACCTGTGTTGACTGGAATTGTGCATTTTGGTTGTGAATCGAAGCACTCTTCCAGAATTGAAAACACTCTGTGTTATAGAGCGACCAGTTATTGCCTTTTCAACGAATCTGTACGTGATCTATCCAGACAGCATAGAATAACATTTATTTGTGGTGATTGGTAATTTTCTTGCATCCTTTATCAACTTTCTTATTTATTGTAGTTTAGATTTGATCGATTGAACAATTATTGGTTGTAGGTGTCATTACCAAGGTTTGATTTGATAATTTCGAATAAATTGAGCATTGGGTTGATTGTTATAAATAAAAATAATATATTTGTAATATCCCAATGAGTAGAAAATTGGATTTTCTGACGTTTCGTGGCTTAGTGTAAGTCACTTCTTCAGAGAATAGATAACCAAATTAAAATTAATCCAAGTTTAAATAGTATAACGGAACAATGCAAGAATAATATTTGATCAATCAAAAACAGGTCTGAACAAGTTGATGTCATGTCATTTCTGTCAAGGTGATTCATAAGTGATAAGTATGTAAATTTGTGTGTGTATGTATATGTGCATTGTTTAAGAATGAAAACTTATGTGACCTTTATGGTAAGAAAGGATAGAGTTTAAATTTGTAATATGAAAGTGTGAAATTGTAAATACGATCAGACTGAATGGTTAGGATAGATGGTCCAAGTAGGGTGTATGGTAAGGCCTTCTTTTTCTATTGAGAGAAGTAGGATTAAGCATTATGTGGAACGCCTCAGCTACCCTCCTTTCTTTGTAGTTGGAAAAGCCTTTTTGCAAAATTTTGATATTTTTAAAATCGATTTGGTGGTTGTTGAAAATGGCATGAACTGCTATTGCCGATTTAATTATTGGTTGGATAGCTGAGTGGTTATATTTGTCTAGGTAATAATGTACACTTACATTTATGATAAATTATAGAACCGCTGTCTTATCCAATTACTTTGTTTTGGTTTCAAACGGGCGAGGGCGCGTATCTAACTCATCCAGGCAGCTGTCCAGCAGTCCAAACGTAGTTTGGATCTTACACACAAATCCACTGCTTTTTAGGTCAGCTTGTATTTCGGGGAGTTGCTTCACCATGGAATGTCAGCTGTCACTTCGAACTTCGGTGTTGCATGTGTTTCTCAGTGCTAAGTATGAGTTATGATCAAGACCATTTAGGAGGCCTTTCAACATTTGCTAGGCTCTCTCGTCAGCCTGTAGCAGGCGTTCTGTGCCTTGATCAACTCTCGATCTTCTCCCCAGGTGTATGCTTTGCTAATGTTTGATTTTCCAAGAAAACATTCTGAACGATATGCATCACTATCTCGTAGTGGTCACACACTGCATCGAGCCTGTTAAAGATGATCTCTCATAGTCGTGCAGTGTGCTCTGTTGTAGCTAAGTTAGGGAGTGTACTTATCCTTCTAAAGTGTCTCGTCCGCGACCATGATAAACATCACTGCACCATAGTCACTACTTCCCATTACCGTCCCTTTTATAAGCATTGGTTTTCATGTTTTTTATACCAACTACAGAGTAAGTAGGATATAAAAGTTAAATTATCACCTTCATTTCCCGATGAGTCGTAGTGACAGTAAAATGTGGTTGGTCACTGAACGTAGACAAAAAAGCACTTAGCCTACTGACTATTAAATATGTGATTTCCTCTCGTCTCACTAATTTCTACTCTGAATGGAAGAAGTATAAACCGAGAGTGATAAAGAAGCACCACGTGTTCGCCTTAGGGGCAGGTTCATCACTAATATTTGATCATACGTGTCTGGAGTGTTGTTGGTTCCTAACCACACGATCTTTGAAGCTGAACATATAACTGCTGAGAAAATTCAAATCCGACGTGTGACACCAAGAGGAGGTGGACGCGAATGCAATCGATCAATATAGCATGGTCGTTCTGTGTAACATTTCCATATGTGTTGGGGAGATCTAGAAAACTCGAAAAAAGGCTATGATAGGCTCCGAAAACACTGAGAAGCATCTTACTCAATCAGCGTTCACTAGAAGTTTAGCCAAGAACATCTAGAGGTTGGAAAGGGACATTTCGAGTTCCCGGTTGAATGGTTATTACACTGCTACTATTTTTAGTAGCATACTAGAACTCTCGGGAAGACCAAGGACGTCTAAAATACTAGAAAAACCCTATATTTTCTGTACATAAACGAACATTTGGGGTAAAGTGTTTCTTGCATATTTTGGGCCTTTTTTCTCGTGTTCAAGTCGCTGTACGGTTCTAGCTTAGGGGTTACTAAAAGAGCTTAGGAACCGATTATAGCGCTCAATTAGCAAGACCTTTAACTGTCCACATTGAATATATTATTCTTTCCGCAGCGCAGAATGTGTTCTCCTGAAGTACTAAACATATTGCTGACTGTCATTACAGGACAAGTCTGTATGGACATTGATATGACTTAAGTTAGATAGTCACATAATGACAAACCTATAATTTTGGGATCAGGTATATTATTATAGTAGCGAATATAAATGTACAAGTACTGAACTAGACCATAATCCTTCATGTCTTTGAAGCATCGGCCGTGCATTTTGAAATAAGCAATGGCTTCATCAGGAAAAGGGTACTAGGTAAAGATTAGGAGTCTGTTGATGAGTTAGCATATCTACTGAGTTGGCTGGGACATATGTGACTTTTGCCAATCCGCTGCCTTCCTCGATAGGCGATACTGTCTGGTTTATGATCAGGTTGGATAGAGAATACAGGAGATCAAATCAAAATTCAGCAGTAATCCATGAAGTTACTGACTTAATATCATCAATGTTGGTGGATGCAGACTACATGATGAGGATCCACACAATTATCACAATTAGTGGTTAGATACTTCGAATGACATAGCCGGAAAATCGCTTGGGTGAACCCATTCCTTATCATCCCCTAGATTTTAAGCTCCTGAATTTTCCGTAATTTTTCCACTACTTTATACTTCCTTAAATCATGCCTCTGGTGCCTCATCTTCTCTGTTTCTACTAATTTCACTACGACATTCATTACTCCGGGGTTCGTTTGAAAAATATCATCATCTTATTTTCACTTGGTTTAGTAACCTGAACTGATGTACATGTGTATTCGGTTCTACGTTTGCTTCAGTTTATTGGCTGATTAGGTCCGGATTGTGAGTTAAGTAGCAAGTAATATCGAAGAAACGTGAACTTACAAGGAATGGGAAAGATGTTGATGACTACGTTTACCAACTTATCTCATGCTGTGAGACAATCCATTGGGCGCACGAAACAATTTAGTGGTAAAATAGCACAATTTTATATTTTGATTTGTATTGGTGGGAGCCATCTCAACTATCTACAAGTTGGCTCTAGGAGAACAGCTCAGTGGAAACAAACAGCCATGTGAAATTGCACTGTGTGCATCACCCTCACAGCCAATAACAGTGATAGGCTTCTCTGTATAATTAGTTGAGAGAAGTCTGGAATACAAAGTGAATACTTGTAAATTACCGTCACGAAGCTTGAACAGTGAACTGGTAGATAGTGCGAGACGATAACATATCCATAAATTTCACTTCCCATAAGTGATACGTTATTTCTCTCTCATTATTATTGCTGACGGTATTGTCGAAACCCCTTTCTTTTTATAAGGGATTCGAATGTATTAGAACAAGAGTTCAAAAACCTGACAAGACTTCCTTCTTAGAAGTAAAGGATGTATCTCATCCAGAGCACTACATCCGAAGATGTGATTAAATTGCTGGTTAGAAACATGATAAATAATTGTCCACGTGACAAATATGAGAAAACAATGAAGAAAACGAATACTGAGGGACACAGTGATGAAAATGTCTTTTGCTAATCCTAGGCTTTTTTCGAATAAAATGAATTTGTCCCGTTTTTGGCACATATTTAAACCCTCAACAATCGGTATTCGTTCGTTATTTTTGTATCAAGTGAGTTCTTTTAGAATATTAGTTTTGAAGCTATGTTAAACTTCACTGATAATTAAAATGTAATACATTTCTGCTTTGTTTCATACTTTAAGTTAATTATTCGCTGGAAAACCTGGAGTATTGTTTGTAGTAATATCGAAACTTAACTTACACTTCATTACATTCAGAAAGGTAGTACATTAATCGATACAAATAAGAGTGTTATAGATTTATATTATGCGTGTTATACCTATAAGCAGATAATACACTCAGTGTAACGTAGTCACAAAAGTCAGTTTTACATTCAACATACTGGTGACTTAATTTCTTGAACTGAATGGTCTTATGCCTGTTCTATTGCCTATGAACGTTAGTCTAGGTTTCTACACGAAGCGTTCGTCACGATTTGCTGGTCGCATAATTCTTTCGACTTTGTCTAACATTTTTTTCTGTGTGCCATCAATAAGGTATAACATGAAACATCTGTATGTCTAATGTACATAGTCTTTTTTTTCAATTTCATAGCATCTTGGCTTTATAATGGTTCACTATAGCCTGTCACTGTTAACATAATGGCTTCCAGTGTCTTATGTTTGTATAACTATTAGTCTCTATTCTTTTTGCATACTTGCTAGTTTTTTTTCGTTAAATGTATCACTGCAAGTAGTAAGACAAGATGTTTTCCATACTTTGAAAAATACAGAAAAATAAAGCAGACGAGACTTTGATGTCTTCTTGTATGTCAGGACTTATGCGGGTACTTGCTTCTAGGATTTTGATTTTGGGTCCTCTATAAACTGAATACAGGACAGACTTGTTGTCACAGGTCGATACGGGTTGATTCTAATTCGTTAACAGCTCAGCAAACTTTAAGGATATTGACCAACAATATCACATCTGGCGTGCCTGGTAACTTTTCTCTCTAATTATTTAAGAGCTTCTTCGTTGATAACTTCAGAGATCATTTGTCACACGGTTCCATGTTTTATCAGTCTAATATTGAAAGACACAGTTCATAGTTTTCATGAATTCTTAACTAAGCCATTAATAATGGAGTATTAGCGCTCCAAATTAAGTAAATTCAGCTAGGACTTGTTTGCAATAAATGGTGTCTATGGTGATGTTAGAAAGTGGTCATCACTTTGTACATGTCGAGCGATGGTCAGAGATATGGTAACACAACAAATGACGAATAATAAAGACAATTTTGAAAGAACTCCATAATATATAAGTTTGTTAAATCATCTCGCTACTTTACAGCTAGCTTCTTAATTCACTAAAAATATCCAAGACATTACGTTTGGAACAAATATGTATTCAAAATAAAGCCTTTACATTTTCGGTTGGAAAATGAACTCAGCTTTTTTAGTTTATACTCAAGCTGTATTACATATGTATATGCTCAAATACAACAGGTCTACTGACTGATCAATTTAGAGAGACATTAGATATATATATGTATTTAGTATGTAGGTGAAACCAGTTGGGTCTAAATAAAATGGTTCAAAATACTATGAAACATTTGGACTCCATTGTTTCATCACTATATCATGTTTTATACTTTCTGTTTTCATGATTGAACATATTTTTTGCTCATTTAACTCTTACGTATACATAAAATAAATAACATTTGTTTGATCATAGTATATGGTAAGCAGTTGTTTATCTTTCAGAAAAACTTTCCAACATGTGGACTGAGAGTAGTGAATCACCATGTTTGGGATCAGTGCCAGTCATTAAGGGGAAGTTTGAAGCCATGCCCAAATCTGCCCAACGCTTTGTTGCTAAATGGGTGGGTAATGTTATATATAGACGCTACTGTATCGCACTAAATTATTTTTAACTTCGATTTGCGTAATGTGTTTTGTGTCTACAAATTTTGTTGATGCGTTCAACCGTATTCATAGATTTTTTTGAAGATTTATTTAGAAAGAACCTAAAAATAGGAGCTCTAACTTGTAATCACACAAATTGACAAATGAACCAATTTTACAATTATTGTATCAGTTATACAATATAATGCGACTTTCGAATTCAATGTAGTTCAGGTATGTCCGAAATAGTTTGGTTTCCTTTCACCATATTTTATCGATCGCAGTAAAAACAAAAGTACGGCATGGATTGTTATTGCTATGTAGTGTTGGAGAATCATAAAGAAAATGGTTATCATTTTCCTTACCATTTATAGTGGAGTGAAGCCTGACGAAAATTTTTTTGATGATAATGCAGTATATTAAGTTTTGAGCAAACGTTATTTCAGTTATTGAGTTACTGGCAATACATAGTTTGTTTGGACTGCGAAATGATTACCATAGGTAAAAAACTTCCATTCAGTTATATATATATATCGTAACTCTGACCACATGAATAAAAATCAAGACGACAAACACTTAACGTGTGAATAAAACATCAATAATAAGATGTCATGGAATTCTAATTATTGTTAACCCTATTATAAGTTATAAATTTGGGTAGGTGCTAATACACGAGAGTTTCATATTGAAATACATAATCTTTTTATAGGATATACCCCATACTTCAAACTGACATAATTTACTGTCAGTATAATGTAAAGAATACATTAAATAACCAAACGACGTTTAAAGAAGTGATGTATAAATGACTAGATTTGCAGAACAAGATAAGTTTCAGTGATTTCTTCAATTTTTAAAGTGCTCTCACTTGAAAACATCATTTGAACCGTAAGAGCAAACTCTGATGTGTGTTGAATTTTCTAACCTACAATAAATACCAATATGTTTATTCACACTGAAATTTATAGGGTTTGTATGACCATTTTTTTAAAAATGTTGGTATAATAAAGACTTATAATGTTGCTGATCAGCATTATCTACTACTTTCTTCCTTGTAACTATGAGGAACTACAACAAAAAACTCATTATAAATGAATCAATTTGACCGACTTAATTAACAAGATCCTAGTTTTTATAAATCTCTAATGTTTAAATAGAGCTAGAGAAAAAGTGATACACATGGTATCGTATAGGTTTCCGATATTACCATGAATGCACCAACTAAGTATGCACTCTTTATTAAATTACATAGCGCGCATACAAGTAACGGTATCCTTACAAACTGATTATTATCATAAATAACTAGTTTAGCATGCAAATACTATTTATAAAAATATGAATTGTTTAAAATCTACTCAACAGTGCGGAAAATTAGGTAGATTATAAGATTCTTACGGATCAGCCTTCCTTTTGACTTACGCCAGTCTGCCAGAGGAAGTTGCATTTTCAGATTGAATTTATTTTAGTGTAAATCTGACTATTTTTGCTATAGGCGGCGAATAAATTGGCTTTCCTATTTCTAACTCTCTTTGATATTGTTTAGTAATATATGTACAGTATGTCACTTAGATGTACCGTTTAGGTTTTAAAGTACACGGTTACATAATTTCAAAAAGATTTTTAGGAATTCTGAAATATTTTATTCATTGTTTTAAATCTTTGTTAAACAAAATCAGGTGGAAATATGTAAGCCAACAGGAGTGTACATATGTGATGGCAGCAAAGAAGAACGTGAAGAACTTACAAAAAAATTAGTTGAATTGGGTTCTTTACATAAACTACCACCGTATGAAAACAACTATATCACATGTACTGATCCAAGTGATGTTGCTCGTGTTGAATCAAAAACTTGGATCTGTTCAGAGCATAAACATGATACTGTACCAGATGTAGCTCCAGGAGTTAAAGGTGTTCTTGGTCAGTGGATTTCACCTAGTGATTTGAATACTGAAATTAAAGACCGTTATCCTGGTTGTATGGAAGGTCGTGTACTTTATGTGATTCCATTCAGTATGGGTCCAATCGGATCACCATTGAGTAAAGTTGGGATTGAAATAACTGATAGTATTTATGTTGTACTATGCATGATAATTATGACACGTATGCATCCAGATGTATGGAAAGTCATTGAATCCAGTAAGGAGTTTGTTAGATGCGTTCATAGTGTTGGATGCCCTACTTCATCTCATCGTAAGTTTAAAAAGATTATGTTTATTATTAGTGTAAAACTTTAGATCATGATTTATGAATCATTTATATGTTTCTGAATTTATACTGAGACCAATATTCAAGAAAGGTACTGAAAACCAAAAACCTCTTAATGTTTCTATTTTCCTAGTTTGTAACTTAATAATCTTGTGTTACCAAACTAAATTACAAACTCAAACAATTTGTTTATTTCAAAGAGATCGATAACCCACCCAAGTTAAACAGTTAATAAAAACATGAAAGCATGCGATAGAAAATCCTGGGTTCGATCTTTGTTGACTGGATTATGAGGAGAAAATGTTGGAGAGTAATATACTAGGATGAACCGATTGTTTAATGCTTCTGGTTTTTCAATGGTTGTTTAACTTAATTTGATTCATGATCTCAATTAAATTCAGCAATCTCCACGATCCCAATACTCATAATTCATTTATTCCCTACTTCATTATTTTTAGTTGTTTACTTATAATTAACTTTGGTTAAAGTGCAAAGCCGTTTCCGAACAAATAATCAGCAAGTTATCGACGGACATATCAGTAATAACTTCGTTGAGGGATGTACTAGAATATGATAAAAATGATTCTATTGATATAAGTATATTACTTGATTATCTTCAACTTGATAAACGATAAAAGTATTTTTTTTCACCGTCTTTAAGACGTTAATGAATTACTATCACTTTAGTTTTCTCCAAAATGATAAATTTGCCCTCCATACTGATTGTTTAATTTGAATTGACTATTCATCTTTTTGGTCACTACCTTAAATTCCCAGGGAAATATGTTCCTTCGTTTGCTTCTTTTCTCTTTGCTTTGAGAATACCAAGTATAAGCTTGCCCGGCGATTCAGTTTGATGATTGCCGCAATGTATATCCTACCCATTTCCAGCGTCTTTTCTTAGGTTTCTAGTGAAAATGATCTGGATATTATTGCATAGTAAAATCAATAATTAAGCTACAACTGTCTTTTATAATTTCCAGATGAAATCATTTTTGAATAAAAGTTGTCATACAATAAACTTTTCACAATTGATTGATCACTGGGTGGCAATCAATGTTATGCGTGTCTAGTCCTTATTAGTGCAGATCGAATGCTATCGACTATGTTGCAATGTGGCCACCAGTCTAGGTGACTCGACATTGCGGTCACTACATATTGAGATTAGATGGTGGTTGGAGGTAGTCGACAATAAACTTTTGAAAACTTATACACCCGTTATTTTGGGGCAAACACAGTGTGGATGTAAATAAGCCATCAAAGGAGTTAGTTTTCTACATGTACTAGTACGGCTGAAAGTTGGGAGAGTTAGCTCTCTCTCTCGAAATGTCCTCACATGGCCACGTGCATACAACCACTCCCAGGAAAGTCCTATTCACTGTCTTCTAGTGACAGGGGTGTTTTTTTTACAAAATTGACAGGATGGAAAGCGAATGTCCGGCGCTTTAGCCAGGTCGGTGGACATGGAGAGTTCACCTAGGGGAGTTAGAAAACCCTGATTCCAAACCGATGGTGCACATGGCCTCCGGTACCCTGAAGTAACAAATGGCGTATGAACCAATCGTTGGTCACCGGCTATCATGGGACTGCATCACCTTACGATGCTCAACTGCCTTATGGATCAGACCTTCAGGTCGAAGGCTCCGGGTGTGGCCCCCTAAGAAAACCACCTGCTTCGGTTTGGGCACTCGGGCAGTATCCCTACCTTCACACAAATTGAATGATTTATGTGGCGCATATCTGTTTGATACCTTCTTGTACCAATATTTATGTGAATGAATTTTAAAAAAAGAAATCTATTCTTACAATGTTCAGAAAACTAATCTTTTAAATCTGAAACTCTTAAACAATTTGTTTTTTTGAATAGTTCAAAAAGATTCATTGTATTTCATCTCGGCTTTAAACCTTTAATGAACCCTAGTGAATGATCATTTCCGACGATTGTTCAACTAAATAATCTAGTAGATAATAAGAGTAGTAGAACAAGGCTAAGAATGAAATCCAAAATGGGCGTTCTATCCCATTTAAGACTCTGTCAAAGGTGTTTGCCATGTAGATAACATCATAATGTTGAAAAGCGATAATTACTTAATCGATAATGTTCAGAAGATATCACGTTAACACATCAAAAAGTGATCGGAAATTCGCTTCTTTGAATAAATTATTAATCACTATGAAATACTTATAATCTTTTCAGTAATAAAGTTTCTCATTAATCTATACTCATAAACTACTTACATTGAATGAAAATTTTATTTTATTTATTAACGTCTTAGGCAAAATCGTCAATCATTGGCCATGTAATCCAGAGAAAACTTTAATTTCTCATGTACCTAAAGAACGTTTAATTATGAGTTTTGGCAGTGGTTATGGTGGTAATTCATTATTAGGGAAGAAATGTTTTGCATTACGTATTGCCGGTTGTATTGCTCGTGATGAAGGCTGGTTAGCTGAACATATGTTAATTATGTCTGTAACAAATCCAAAAGGTGAAGAGAAATTCATAGCTGCTGCTTTTCCTAGTGCTTGTGGTAAAACAAATATGGCTATGCTTGAACCATCATTGCCTGGTTGGAAAGTACAATGTGTTGGAGATGATATAGCATGGATGCGTTTTGATGAACATGTGAGTACTCAGTTTTGTTTTCTAATATCGGAGATTTATCAAGTCTATGTTTATAGATCTTAATGACTCTATCTAATTAGCTAAGTTGTCTACTGATTTGAGATAACAATCTATTATCAGTGTTTATAGTTTAAGAAATACTATTAAAGATAGTGTCTCTCCATTAGAACATAACATGGCTGTTGGAGATAAATTGAGTCTATTCCATCAACAAAGGGTCATTTTAGATGTAATTTTTAGATAGTTTAAATGACCAGTCAAACACTGGTATCCTTCATGTTACTGGTTTTACCGTTATTTGTAAATGTTCAACAGTTTTCATGTTGAAATGTTACCCTACTTCCTTAAATCCTGTATTGAATTTTAATAATAGACAAGAATTTCACTCATTTGTTTAGTATTAATATATGATTGAAGCGGTGGTTTAATGGTTAAGGTATTGGACTTTCAGCCAGTGGGCTCTAGGTTCGAAACTTACTCCACTTATTTCATTTAGGGCAACTGGGTATTACCACTAGCTCTCATACTTAAAGTATGGCTGTAAGCCTGCAACTGGTAACGAGTTAATAGTATGAATGATAATAAGTATTGTTATTTGTATCTACACCACTTATTATGATTATGTTTCCTTACATATATGCTAGGGTGTTCTTCGAGCAATCAATCCAGAAGCTGGTTTCTTTGGCGTTGCTCCAGGTACAAACGCTAAAACTAATCCGAATGCAATGGCTACATGTATGAAAAACACTGTTTTTACTAATATTGCCCAAACTAAAGATGGTCATATCTTTTGGGAAGGACTTGAAGATCAATATAGTCCTGATACAGAAATTATCACATGGCTTGGTGATCATGTTAAATTATCTGATAAAAGTAAAGATCCTAAAGCACATCCAAATTCACGATTTTGTTGTCCTGCTAATCAATGTCCAATTATTCATCCTAAATGGGAAGATCCACGAGGTGTACCAATTTCAGCTATAATTTTTGGTGGTCGTCGACCTGAAGGTATACCATTAGTTCTACAATCATTTGATTGGAAACACGGTGTTATGTTAGGCGCAGCATTAAAATCAGAAGCAACTGCGGCCGCCGAATTCAAAGGTAATTTTAATAGAAAAACGATTTTATTCACACAAATATTCGTCAATATTTAAACGAATACTTCAATAGAATTTGGGCACCGAGTGTTTAGATCTATCCAACAAAGTGTTTTATCATATTCAATATATGTGCTGTATCTAGTACTTTTAAGCATTTTGTTTACGGTTCATTCACTTGATGTATCTGGGATTAAGCCCAACTGTCTGCTATGAATACGTCACTTAGTTGTAAAACCATATACCGGATAGAAAATGCAAATTTACTAAAAGTTTTGAATTGTATTGAATATTCTAATGAAAGGTATATTCTTATTGTTGGGGTGATCCAGAAAATTGCTTGCAAAAGACAAGCAAGCATCAGGAAACACTAAGACGCGTTTCATCTAATCAGCGTTCGCTTGAAGTCTTAGCCAAAAATATCAAGGAAGCGAAACGTCACATGCAGAGGCTCTGATTGGTTGGCTGCTACACTGTTATTATGTTTAGTTGCATTCCAGAATCTTCTAGCAACCCAAGGACATTTAAAATATTATAAAAACCCTGTATTTTCTGTCTTAAAATGAACCTTGGAGTAAACTACTTCTCGCCTACTTTGAGTCTTCTCTCTCGTGTTCAGGTTGCTGTATTGTTCTAGCTTGGGGGTTACAGAATATCTTAAGAGACGAATATAGCGTTCAATCCGCAAGACTTATCACTTATATTTTAGTATTCACTCACTAAATGAATCGTAAAATACGCAAAAGTGTTAGATACAGTACATTTATTGACCACTGAAAATGTGACGGATAAACTAAAATCAAATTTATGAATAAAACTATTTAAATGTTTGATAATTTTATATTTAAAATATATAAAAATTTATGTATTTGTTTTACTACTGTGATGTGTGTTACTGATGTCGACAGATATAAGTAGTATGTATCATCGATCGAAAGTGAAATCTTGGCGGCAAAAGTTGGAGAAAATCAAAGAAAATAGAAAAGGAACAGAGAATGATTGGTATGGAAACGAAGGAACAACAAAGTCTAAGATAACTGATAGATATTTTGCAAATGAAGTATTTACTGTATGGTACTCATAGTTTACCAGAACATTCTGTAATGTTTTATTAACGTACATTTGGTTGTCCCCGATTGTGTTCTTGTTCACTGTACTACATTTCCTAAAAGATATTTAGCATTTAATGAACTGCTTCAGTATAGTGATTACATGGTCGAATCATGTATAAAATTGTGCACCTCAAACGAGCGATTTATTGATTTATTCACCCCAGTTCTTCTAGATAATTGGTTCTTTAATAACTTTATTCTAGTGTAAATACACACCCAAGTAATTTTGTTTTTCCAGGATATGATTGGTGCTTCTTCATGAGTAGTCAGTCAACTGTTGATCATTAAAATACTGAGAAAACATAATTAATTGAATGTTTCTTGAAAATATCAGTTATTTAATTTCTCGGTGTTTTAGTTAACTGCCAGCATACGTGTAGTGAACGAAAACACAAGTGAAGACAATCGAATGTATTTGAATATGAAATCACAGAACATCTTAGTAAAATCTAAAAACTATACGACCAAACCATCCAGCTCAGAGAACAAAACTCCACCAAAATCATCCACCTGAGCTACAAATCTTCTCCACTATACAGTAAATACTTTATTTGCAAAATGCCAATCAATCATCTCAGACTTCACTATTCTTTTATTTCTACAACAATCATTCTCTGTCGTCATTCTCTTCAATCTTCCTAACCTATTGCCGCAAGATATTTCTTATTCGATTGATGATACATACTGCTTATATCTATCGATATCAGTAGCACATACCATATACGTATTCATTGTTATTGTATTATAACTACGTTTAACTTTCTGTATTAAAAAAGAATCTGTCCTAAACTGATAGGTATACAGTTTTAATATCAAGTAATTAGAAAACTATTCATAAACATCCTAATGATATTTATCATGAATCGTTAGAACTTTAGCCTTTTAAAATCGATTGTACATTTATTGATAAAGTTGGATGGAATTTAATTTTACCAACAGACCAGTTACTATCGATTGAGGAAGCACCTTCAAGGTCGAAACAGATGATTGTTAAACTAAAATGTTAATTATTATACCATATCATGATTGATTTCAAAACATAATTAACTTGGTTACAAAAAAACTGGAATGGTAAAAAAAATTCACTTGTTTATAATAGTGATGAGAAAATGGCTGTAAAAGAATGTAAAGTTGTATGAGATGAAGTGATATTTCATACTTTACGCCAGGATAAATGTAGTGGGTTCTATCCAATTGATGTTCATTCTTCTCATATGTGTCTCCATTTCTCAGCGTAATGTGTTTCTTGGTCTTAAGAATTCCAAGTGAGAGCTTGCCTTGTGACGCAGTTGGGTGCTTTCCTCAATGTGTGTCTTACCTACTTCTAACAATTTTTCGTGATTTCTTCCTCCTCTGGAATCTGGTTTGTTCTCTCCCACAGTAGGTTGTTGCTGGTAGTGTCTGGCCAACAGATCCGAAGTATTTTGTGTAGACAGCTGTTAATAAACACGATATTTCATAGTATTGCATATTAATGCAAATAAGTAATCAAAGAAGATTTGATTTAATATCTCTTTCAATATCAAGACAGTTTTAACTGTATGGGGCGGAAACCTAGAGAACTATGAAAGCCAACATCCAGAAAATACAAGTGTTTATTAACAATTGCCTACGCAGAATTCTTCGGATCCGTTGGCCAGAAACTATTAGCAACAACCTACTGTGGGAGAGGACAAACCAGATCCTAGAGGAGGAAGAAATCAAGAAAAAGCGCTGAAAGTAGATAGGACACACATTGAGGAAAGTACCCAACTGTGTCACAAGCCAAACCCTCACTTGGAATCCTCAAGGCTAAAGGAAAAGAAGAAGACCAAAGAACACATTGCGCTGAGAAATGGAGACAAATATGAGAAGAATGAACAACAATTGGATAGAACCAGAAACGAAAGCCCACGACAGAGTGGATTGTAGAATGCTAGTCGGTGGCCTATACTCCATTGGGAGTAACAGGCGTAAGTAAGTGTGGGTAATAGAACCCACTACATTTATCCTGACAGACAAATAACAATAATCGACGGTACTGATGATGGATGACATCAGAAATTTCGTTAATCACCACAGGAGTACAAACTAAAAATTTAGAACCGAGCATCTTTAAAACTATGCCAATGACCCCTTAAAAAATCGTTTTACAATTATTTGAATGAATTTATTACTATTACTAATACCACTATTGTAGTGAACAGAACACGAGTGGGGACAACCGAATGTATTTATCAAAAAAAAAAATACAGACTATCTCAATAAAATCTGAATACCATAAAGTCAATCGTCAATTTGCAAAATATCAATCCATCATCTTAAACTGGACTGTTTCCGTTGCAAACACTAATTCATTGTCTCCCATTCCATTGTGCATGTGTTTTCTTACAAATTCCATTGTGCTCTCGCTCTTTCTTTCTTGATCTTCACCTCATCTTCCGCTGCCAGATATTACGTTTTAACTCGCGACATATACTACTTATATCAATATAAGTAGCACACACACCACACTATTACTATTAGCTATATTCAATATTATAGATTTTGGTGCAATATAGAATTCACAGCACAATGTATTTCAACAAGTTACTGTTTCCTATTTTTTGATTGATCCTGACAATAAATATTGAGTGATTGCCATTTGAATGTTAGCAGTCCAGTCAATCGACATTTGAATAATGTACATTGGCTTCGATATATATATTGCCGTCAACCACTATATGTCTGAGTCGACCTTTTACAACTCATACAATGAAAGGTTGTATATTTTACATTATGCAATTAGTAGGCATCATAATCTGTTGAAACAAACAAGAAAAACGGATAACTTGTTGAAATATCTAAAGAACAGGAACCGGTAGCCCAGATATTCAAGCAGGTCGTCAGCAATAAGCTGAATTCAAGATAAAAAAGATTAGACAATAATTAGAGGAAATTCAAAGCTGATGAAAAAAATCTATATTCAATCCCTTCTCTTTCTTATTACGTAATAAATTACTTATTCATTTGAACTGTTTTTTGATTGGCTACAAATGTTGAGAATTTTTCCCAAGGTCATTTATTGATCGCTCAAATGTATCCCATACAATGATATTGATTTTGTTTTTCCCATTTTCTGTTTATTATCTCTTATATATTGATTTATTGATTTATTTAATTTTTTGATAAATATTTAGGTAAACAAGTTATGCATGATCCTATGGCTATGCGTCCATTTGTTGGTTATAATTTTGGACATTATTTAAATCATTGGCTTAGTATGGAGAAACCATCACATAAAATGCCTTTAATATATCATGTGAATTGGTTCCGTTTAAATAAACAAGGTAAATTTGTATGGCCTGGTTTTGGACAAAATATACGTGTTATTGATTGGATACTTCGACGTGTTAATGGTGAAGATATTGGTGTCAATTCACCAATTGGTATTTTACCTAAAAAAGGTTTGTTCAATTAGTTACTAACTTGTGAACAATTTTTATTTTAATTTAATAGTTGAATTGATAAATTAATTGAGGCCAAACCATCATGGAAAACCTGAAAGTACTTGACGGCTGTTTCGTTATAGTACTCTTCAGCAATGTGTATCCACGATCTCAGGCGTCCAGTACTTCCAAGTTTTCCATGGTAGTCTAGTTTTAATTGACTCATGAATTCAACTATTAACTTACTATAATATCTACAAGACCCCCCTTTCTGATTTATTTATTTGTTCATTGTTTCATCGTTCATTAAGGACATAGTAATGTAGATAAACATTTAATTGTGTGTTAAAATTTTAATAGGAAACAAAATAGAGGGATAGGTGATATATAAGGATCCCAATGTTAAAAGTTGGATGATAGAATAGAGTTCATATTGATTTAGACGAAACAATTTCTTCGGTATTAACGAAAAAAATTGGAAGCCTAGTAGAAAAAAATAGCGATCAGAAGAAAAATTTACATCAATAAACCAGAAGTTGTGAGACTCTTCTCATACTGTATTTACGTACTTTCCCATATCTCATTCTAAAGTTAGAATTTTGACATTTAGAAAGAATTAAGTGTAAAATCATTCAAAATGAACTGCATTGCAGTTATTGAGTGGTGGGAGGTCATTCAATAAACACGCTTCTCATATGCGAACTAAACTAGATACTTGATTGGGGAGACTCAGAGTTGATTAGGAAGCTTTTATTGGCTAAACTGAATTAAATACGTGCTCAACTCATTCATAAATATGTATGTGCCTCCCGCCCTCCTCGAATAAAACAAATTAGGCCAGATTTTCAATCAGTATTACGTAACTGTTACCTTAGAAAATGAAGCCGAATCTTGATCACTAGCATGAACCTATTCATGACTCTTATTTACTTATTTAGCCTTGAACTGATATATCTGATTGGCATACCATGTCAGTAAAATAAACATAACCGTATGTAATTAAATGTTTCAGATGGCATTTTAACAATAGATCATTAATATGGAAATCTTTGGAAAACTTGGATTAAAACTAACAATATCTTTCATTTATGAATGTGAGAACATTGAATATAGTTTTGATTGTGACTATATGTTTGATTGTACAACTACACTATCTTTTATTACTGTAATATTCTTGACGAGAAATGTTGAAACCCTTATTGTTTTGTAATTCATGTAGTCAGCATATTTTCATTGAAATTACACTACAACTGTGTCATACATTTATACATAATTGAGATTGATGATAATTGATTTTCTCTTCAAGTGAATATGTAGATTGGAAAACAGGAAACTTATGTTCTTTCGGATTACTTTGTTGAATCCTTGTGACATTTTAAGTAAATTATTTAATTTACAGAAGTTATGAGTTTTTGTTAGAGTTTTGTTCTTTAAGCTGAATAATTTGGTTGTGGAGCTTTCATCACCCTTCTAAATGACATCATCAGCACAAACTTTAGCTCAAAGAACAAAACTCCATCAAAATCATCCACTTGAACTATAAATCTTCTCCACCTTCTCAGAAGTCATGAGTATTCATATTACTTATTTTTTTTCAGGCAAGTAAATTACCTATCAGTTTACTACCAAGAACGTTACCGATTTGTGTAAATCAGATTTTTCGTTACGAATCTTTATATGCACTGAGGTTATGGATACATTCATTAAATAGGTAGAATTGTCATTATAGAGTTGTGGAGATTATTAAGTTATTGATTGAGATCATGAACTGATAATTACCACGTGCTCATTAATGACTAGCTTCGTGAGGGAATTCTCGGAGTTCTAGTGAGAAGCCGTGACTAGTGGAGCTAATCCGTGTCGGGTAGAGACAGGTTTCTACCTCAGTACAATGGAAGATGGTCGCGCAATTTTGTGGGTTGGTTAAGGTTAGATATTAACACCGTTGAATACCGGTTCGCAGTCTAGAGGTTAAGCGTTCATGCGCGAGACTGAAGGCCCCGGGTTCGAATCCTGCGGGCGGGATAGTAGATGCGCACTGCTGAGGAGTCCCACAGTGAGACGAAACGGCCATCCAATGCCTTCAGATTCTAGATGGTGGTCTAACATCAATCGGCTCATGATCTCAATAAATAATTGAAAATGATGTAAATATTTCAAATTTTATGTCACTTCACTTGTCTATTAGTTGCACGATTATAAATGTTACCGATAAGTGGATATAAACAGTAAAAATTCTCTGGTTTATTGTTAGAATACATTTGATATTGACTTAAAAATGTAATTAGAAACTAACATTACGTTCTATTCGAGACTCCTCAACCGTGTATGTACATTGTCTTCTCATTGCGATGTGTACTCTTTACTTATCGAATCGAATACACGAATCACAATAGCCATGATTATACTGAAGTAAACACCGAAGGTGACTGTTCCAATATATCAATGTGAAATTACAAACCTCCCACTGAGTTATTATTAAGTGGCTTATTATTATTATTATTCTTTTTATCACAGGTTCAATCAATTTCGATGGTTTAAACGTTGATTGGGATGAGAATTTTTCACTACCAAAGGATTATCTTTTAGAGGACGTTGATGAAACAATGAAATATTTACAGGAACAAGTTGGTAAAGATTTACCAGCTGTTATTCAAAATGAATTAAACAATCAACGTGAACGTATTCAATCTCAACTTTAAATGGTAAATTTCACTTAACAATTAATGACAATACTGCAACTTGATCACTGAATCATGATCAATTTTGTGTTTGTTTAATCATTTAACATTGAACGAAATTTATTAATTATTCAGTTGTAAATAATCCTGTCTTGCAGGAGGTCATTCACGGTCCGAATAATTCGGTAGTGGTGTTTCAGACTGAATCTAGTTGATGTGAGCTCGAACCCTACAGGGAGTAACAGATTTCTCAAGACTACAAATACGTCTTACTACAAAGTTAAGGTGGCCAGCTGAATGATTTTAATGTTGCTGAGTTCTCTTTGTTAGATCATTTATTTATAAACCGATTATAATCTTTTGAAACAATCTCATTATCAACTTTCATGTGTTTACTGCGTAGAAGTTCGTTCCGTCCTACTTTATGGCAGTGAAACATGACCGGTAAGAGTAGAGGATATTCGTAGGCTACTAGTATTCGATCATAGGTGTTATCAAAACATTGCTCGTATATCCTGGGACCATCGAGTAAGTAATGCAGTTGTTAGGAAACGGATACTAGGTAAAGTATGGCAAATCAATTGATGAAGCAGTGAAACTCCATCAGTTGAGATGGCTGGGACGTATGCCCAACCACCGTCTGCCCCGACATGCGATGTTTTATGGTGTAAGAGTAGATTGGAAGATTTCACTGAACAGTACTAATTTCCAGGTTCATAGTCTAAATTAGTAAATTCGAATTACATCGCCTAGCCAGTAATGAATGCATAAACCGCCTCAAGGTCACGACGGGTATATCAATATTAGCATATTGTCTGCCAACGATGAAATCAATGACCTCATTGAGATACTTTTGTCCAAAGGTTGTATGATGAGTAAATTTACTCCATAGTTCAGCTTTAATCTTATCATTCTGATCCAGTTGTTTATATTAACAAATATTATTACTTCATGAGATCATGAGTCAAGTGAAGCTAGACCACCATGGAGAACTTGGAAGCACTGGAAAGCCGTTTCGTTCTATTGTGGGACTCCTCAGCAGTGCCCATCCACGATCTCGCCCCATGAGATTCGAACTCAGGACCTATCAGTCTGGAGCCAGCATCTAATGGTGTTAATGCCTAACTTTAACTAATCCACGAATTTGAGCGATACATCCATCATTGTCTTCAATGAGTTACTATCTCACAACAGACCTGGTTCAACTCCACTGGTTATAGCTTCTCACTATAATTCCAGGAAATACCTCTTGAAGCTAGTCACTAGTGAGCATATACTGATTAGTATCAGAAGGGGTTTTTATAGATATATTACAGTAATTAGCTGTGTACACTACAAATTGTAATTATTCTGTATGCTTTCTTATTTTTTTCCTCATAACTTCTTAAAGAATAAATCAGAGGAGGAAGAAGAAGACGATGACGACGACGATGAGAATGAAGAAGTCAATGTTTAATCATTTTCTTCAACTTTATGTGCTTTCTAATTTTTTTTTGCTTCTTGTTGCTGTTGTTATTGTTGTTAGCTAACTTCTATTGTTGTTTGTAGACATTAATTACAACTTGTTCTTTTTGTTTTTGTATTGCTTTTAATATTACTACTAATACTACTACTCACAATAATATTCATTTATATTGTCGTTATTGTTTTATGGTAGTATTCTCAACATTATTGTGATCCAACGAACCTTTTCAATGAAAATACAATACATTACAATTTCTTTCTTTCTCTATTTTCTTGATTCATTATCGTTCCGAATGATTGATTCGATCATATTTGTGATATGTTAATGTTGTGTATATTGAGACTCCTAAGTAAAGGTTGAATTGATATATTGAAATGTCCTGAATGTGACGTTAGATTCAATGTGTGACTGTGTGTGTTGTTATTATTATTATATCCGGAAAGTTTTTAAAATGGTATTATTTGAATTAGTTTTTGTTGTGACCGTGGACTGCAGATTAGAGCGAAGCGTATTATCGATCGGACCAAAGACGCGTAAAACACGTAAGAACGACCTAAAGTCCTGATTGACCCTGCTTCCCTGTCTAGTCCAGCCAGTTTAGTCCAGAACGTAAGTCTCAGCCTCTGAGATATGAATCATTATATTTCAAGCATATTCTGTTTATATACCAGTCAAGCAAACCACATCGTAACATAAAATAAAAAATAACATTGTACAATATTGACCAGAAGGAAAACGACACGTGAAATAAATATTGACCAATAAGATGATACCATTTCATGTCCAAGGACAGCATTAGGCTTAACAGGATAATTTTTAGGATATTTTTCTGAATATCCCTACAGTTTTATTGATAGTTATGTTAAGAACAATGATTGTTAAGAGAAAGTATTCGTTGTTCTACTTAATTTTTAGGATAATTATGTAACACAACCCTTGTGGTGGTGGTGGTGTAGTGAACGAGAACACAGGTTGAGGCAACAGAATGTGAATATCATATGTCCAATACTTCATTTGTAAATTATTCCTACATTTTCATAATAATCACTGATTGTTTCTATTCTCTTTCATTCGATCTTCTTAACCTTCAGCTGCTAGACATTCCACTTTTGATTGGTGTTACATACTACTTATATTTGTCGACATATGTAGCACACACCACAGAAGTACAGTTAATGAGTAAATATCAAGAAAAAAAATTTGAATCACATTTATCATTAGACAGTAGTTACAAGTTGTTCTTTACTATGCAATTTTAAATGTTAATGTAAAAGTGACCGCAATTAGTGAATACTATGCGATTACTCTTGAACACTATGCTCCTTAGTATTATTAGCTCAACACCTAATCATTGAGAAGACAAACCTTGACCTAACTTTGTGAAGAATCTATACTCGATGGTAAAATGTCGCTTATTTTTAAATATTAAGGTACACTTTACAGTGATTATTAATTAAATTTAAATAATTTGGACTTAAATGAATATCACATGCTGAATGAATTACATAACAGACATTCTCAGATAGATAGTGACTAGCAGTGAAATTCTGAACGTGCTTTTCGTCCTGTTTGGGACTAGTCAGCTGGATGTACCTGCATCTTAGAGTTGATCTTTATTCCGGGACTCGAATCCAGTACCGTTCACTTTAAACAACATCGCGTTATCCACTTAGCTACTGAGTCCTAATAGTCACTTGCTTGTGCGATGGGGTGAAGTTAAATACTATTGCAAATTTACAGGTGTTCAATCTCAAATAACTCTACCTGTAACTTTTCTAGAATTACTGCTGCTCCCAAGTCAGTTTAAAGGACGAGGGTTGGTCATGAGGTTAGCAACTTTATCCCGTAGAAAACAACTTTGCTAAAAGTAAAGCATAACCTCAAATATATTCAGAGTATTGTTTACTTTGAAGAAACCACATGCACTTTACAATAGTTAGAACTATTTAATTTAAAGTGGAATATATATCCAAAACTTCCTATTCTACTCGATACTGTCATAATAGTTACTGAGATGACTATCGATCAAGAAATATAAGACAAATTCTAAAGAGTTATGAAATTCACATAGTTGGTTATCCTGAACATATGAAACTTGTGATAGACAAAGCTATTTCTGTCTACATTTTGACTGTTATTGTTATATTTGTGGAACTGCTTAACTGATTGGTGTTTGGTGTAAAAGACCTTAAATCTAACAACATGCAGTGAAAACACAAAGACTGTTGATTTGGATTTCTTTAATCCCTGGAGATAAATCAAAATAGTATATGAATGAACAACTTTTTATATGGTTTATTCACAATGGGATTTGTATAGTTTGAAATGAATCGTATTGAATATCGATTAACCGATTGCCTGCTACTTGAACACACACTTCCCATATCCTGTGACTAATCACCTGTAATGAATAAACAGGATTAATTAATTAAGCCATATGATTATTCCTTTTCATGATGATATTACATCTCACAGGAGGTCGGAAAGACTCAACTTCATGTATCATTTACATTGTGATCTATTAAGCCAGTGTTCACCATACCAATGAAACTTAAAAAGTAGGAACTTTAGCTTATTGATTCATGTAGAAAAATTACAAATATTAAGAAAGCATACAATTCGGAATATTCCCAACGCAAACTACTAACACAAAGGAACTTTTTACTATCACGCCGATGTTATTCATTTGTAAGTAAAGTTCGGATAAATGAAGTTGGGCAGTAGCTATCAGTGGAGTCTAGAACGTGTATTTTATTCTATTTAGGACTCATCAGCTCGATATAACCACATCCTAGTGTTAATGTTCCCATTGGGATTCAAGCCAAATATTTTTCGTTTCAATCATTTGAGTGAACCATTCCTTGTATTCCTCTACCCCATAACGGATGACTAAGCATTGAACCTTCCGTCATTCACGCGAACGCTTAACCTTTAGAGCATTAAGCCAGAATTTAAAAGTGTACAATCCCAACTTTAGTTAATCCGAAATATTGAGCAACCGTCTTTCATTGTATTCAGTGGGTAACTACCACATATACAAGATTTTCGAATTCCACTAGTCACGGTTTTTCACTAGAACTCAAGAAATCTACTCTTCAATGAGTGTATGGTAATTGTCATTGTGTAGTTTTGATGATAATTGAAATCACGAACCGATCTAATTTAGACAATCATTAAAAACTTGGAAACACTATTTTTATTTAAACACATAAACATTGGTACAAGGGAGCACCAAACACATATGCGTCACATAAATCATTCGATTTGTGTGAGGGCTGGGATACTACCCGAGTGCCCAGAACGAAGCAGGTGGTTTCCTTAGGGGTCCACACCCGAAGCCTTTGACCTAAAGGTCTGATCAACAAGGCAGTGGAGCAACGTCAGGAGATGCAGTCTCATGGTAGCCGGCCACCAACGATTATTTCGTACGCCATTTGTTCCTTCAGGATACTGGAGCCCATGTTGACCAGCGGACTCTTAGTATCCACCAACCCGGGTTAAACCTCTGCCGGACATTCGATTTTCATCGTCTCAATTTCGTAGGCGACATGAATGCCGTGAGAAGACAGTGAGTAGGACTTCCCTGACAACGATTGTATGCACGTGTTCATGTAAGAGCATTTCGAAAGACGGGAGCGAACTTTCCCCACTCTCGACCATACCAGAGCATTTGAGGGCTATGATGTTCTGTAATTTTGTATTCAGTTACATTCGATTGTCCCCGCCTGTGTTCACGTTCACCATACGTATGGTCTGTAATTTATTTATACTTTATTTAAGGGATATGAACGTCAGGTTTAAGTTTATACCCACTAGTGTATTTCTCATTGAGAAAAATATTTGAACGTAGTCGGGTATTTTAAACCTAATTAGTATTAGGTGGTAATAAATAAGATAATTCATCATAATAACAATTTTTCCTTTATTTTTTAAAAAAAATGGATAAAGCTGTTTTTGTTACCACTTGGAAAATGAATAGACATTCTTAATCAACCAATCATGTCTTGGTTACTAGATACAGGCCAAGGCTACAGGATATATTTAACAAAAAGTCGATAAAATACACTTAAGACGTTTGATATGTAGATACAAGGCAAGGTTACAGATTACATCATACAAAAAACCGAATAAATGATTTCATTTTATCCAGTAAATTTGATGACTATACCAATGAATTTTGACTATTTGGACAATTTCATTGAAATTATGTAGTGATTAAAGTCAAACAATCATTGTAAACTTGAAAGTACTGAATGGGTGTTTTGTTGGTATCGGACTCCTCAGAAGTACACATTTACGATCTTTCAAGTAAGAATCGAAATTGGAACCTTCGATTTCGTGCGTTAATGCTTAGCATCTCTTGACCTCTGAGTTGAAATCCAATAGTGTACAAGTTCAATTTCAATCAATCCACGACATTGCACGACTATCATCATTGTATTCATTAGGTAACTGCTTCACTTTCAACATGGTTTAGCTCCACATTTCACGGATGCGTACTGTTGAGGAGTCACATACTAGAATGACACGACTGTTCAGTGCTTCGAGGTTTGTAATGGTGATCTAACTTGTATCAATTAATGATTTCAATGAGATTCAACAATCTCCACAATATTACACTCAAGACTGATAAATTGTCTATTAATGTGAAACTCTAGATTCCAATTTATCTAAATTACTTGAATGATATTATATCTTGAATATCAACAAGAAAATATAAAATATCATCAGCACAAACTTCAAGTAGAAGTGAGGTTTGTACTGACGATGTCGTTCAGAAGAACGATGAAAGGTTCACAACCGAACCATGCAGTTCAGAGAACAAAACTTCACCAAAAACCTAGGCTACTATTGATAATTTCCAGAAATCTGTTTTCATGCACCTCTCAGTTCCTTTATCTTGAAAATTGCTGAGCCCAACCTGAAAACAAACAACATTAAACTAATTGTTCTTAAAATCTATTAAAAACTAGCTACCTTTTACTAACCTACAACAATGTTATTACACAACAAGATTATCTTTAAACCCGGGATAAAGTGTACTATCAGTTTATTTTAATAATCGTTACTACCGTAAGCAACTGAAAAAAAATCGGTGAATTGATTTTATTCTTCTATGATGATTGCTGTTGTCTGATGAAAATTTCTCAAAATGAAGTTTCTTATAAAAGATCGTACCTATGGAAGATGTATCATGTCTATCAGTAACCCATTGTATGATAATACTCTAGATTTGAAACAAATGTATCTGGGTTCAAATTATAA